GGAAATCAAGATCAGCAAACCAACACTTTTCTTAGCTACATTACTCACTGTACACTCTAATAAAGATTACTCAGCTTTTTTATAGTCACTCTTTTGAAGTCGAATCTGTTTGATTCAAACCATTAGCCTGACGATCTGAATAAGGTCTAATGAACGATCGTCTCCACCAAACCTCGAAAGCTCTCTGAAGATTCGGACATCCATCTCCTCCGTTCAAAAAACTCCCGAGCCACGACAGCAGAATGCTCTGCTGATCTTCCAACGGCAATGTCAGTATCGTCCGTCCGATTCCTTCCTCTACTAGTTTACCATCAAACGATCTGCAACCGTGTTGGAGCCAGTTATAGTCGTTGAACAATGGTTGCAACCATGTGGTTAGCAGCAAAAGCCGAGTGTCTTTTGAAGGCAACAATTCTCCTCTCCCAATCCCTATGAAGAGCCTAGAGGTTACACGGCTTATGTGGTAACGCGACATTAAAGGAAGCTTCTCGTGTAACAAAGCGAGCTCCTTTTGGTTTGCCCATGTGATTGAGAATTCTTCCGCAGCTTGTCTTTCCGCTAATACATCTAGCAGCCAAGTGAGGTTATCCGCTTCTACTGCTATCTGTTTAGTATCTGCCTCAGGTTTCTCTCCTTCGGAAGCTTGTCTAAACAGAGACAAAACTGAGTCTAAGCAGTTTTGGCACGAGGAATAGATCGTTTCATTCAAGTTAACAGCTACATTAGCCCCATTCTGTTCCCTGAGAAGCTTCAGGACAATAGATTTCATCTCACGCCGACTTTTTTCCTCTTTGCTTCTTAAAACAAGCTCGATGATGCGAGAAAGCGTCTCTTTTGGCGGATCCACAGCATTAGAAGCAACTCGTTTGAGAACAGGCGTGACACCAACTCCTCCTTCGGTTTTTAATCTGAGAATCGACAAGATAACTTTCTCCTCTTCTTCTTCCCCCACCCAAGGCACAGCTTCTAAGTAATCCAAACAAGATTGAATACATGAACTAAAACCAAGAAGCTCTGCAACCTGCAAACACAACAACTAAATCCTTAAGAAAATTCCCTAAACCTCTTTAGTTACCAAATTGATTCATTTCTATAAGCATCAACCAATCGTTAGACACTCCCTTAAGCTCTAAAGTTACCAAATTGATCTTGACAAGACAAGAATCTAAAAGAGGGATTTAGCTGCAAAATACCTTGAGGACACGAAGGACTCTGGTTACATTCTGTTTCAGGAGCCGTTGCTTCATATCTTTACAATACATAAGACCAATGGTCTCAACATAGATCTCTGCATCTTCACAGCTTTCAATCTCAAGACAAGCGAAAACCGAATCTTTCTCGGCGAGTTTCTTAGCAAATAAACCACTATGATCCACTAAAACTTTCTTGTGAACACTAAGCTTCACACAAAAGCCTTGTTTCCCTACCAAAATCACTTTAGCATCACTACTTCCTGGTTCACCAAACTCAATCGCTACTTTCCTCGGTAAAGTCTCAACCTTTTGCCTCTGTGGTCTCTCTTGAACAGTCACCGGAACAGCAATACTGTGATGATGGGTCTCGAGATTACCTGAATTCTGTTGTTGTTCATCGGAAGCAATGACGGATCTAATAGTCGTCGACGACGGTTTCTTCTCCTTCTCCTTCTCCGACGTTGGAATCGTTCTGGCTTTCGGAGATTGTTTGTGTTTGTTGGGAGAATGATGAGATTTAAGAGTCTTTTGAAAAGCTACAGGAGAAGGACAACACCAGAAACCTTCAGGAGTTACAGCTACTGGAACATTCCTAATCTTGGTCTGACCTTGTTCTACTTTCGCAATCTTGATCTCAGCCATTGTTGATACAGAACAGAGAGAGGGAGAAAAGCTTTCAACTTTCACACCATTAACGGAAAGAAAACAAGAACAAAAGGGACCCAGAAATCTAAATCACAAAACAGAGAGTAATTTTCAGAATTTGGGGAAGAAAAAAGAGGAACCCTAGAAATCGGAAAAATCTGTTGAATCCTCTCAAAATATCTAGAAAGATATAATAAACCCAGGAGCTGTGTAGAATGATTTGAAGGTAATTATGGTGTTTGAAGAATGTAAAGGAGCAAGCTTTTTAACCTAAAAATCATACTATATCAAAAAAAAAAAAAAAAGAGAAGACAATGGAATTTCAAAAGAAGAGTAAAAAGCCAAAACACAAGAAAGGAAGAGAAAGAGATACATCAAATGGCTTGTCTCTACGATTCCTTTATCTCCACTTTACCTTTG